TACTCTTCCTTCAATTCTCCCCAGCCCTAAGCTGTGGAGTGCAACATAACGCCATGCAGAATGTCCTCTCTAATTTTTGTGGCCATTTTCTAATCCCATGTAGTAATTCAGCCAGGGACTAAAAAACAGGAGGCTGAGCTCCCAAGGTCATATCTGTGAAGCCAAAATGCAACATTTTACAGCAGCTCTATTGTTAGCAACACACAGGCCAGAGAATCAGTGTCTTAAAACACAACCACTAATTTACATACCTATCACTAACTAGTTAAACCCAGGCAAGCACACATGAGCCATAAAACCCCCAAAATGGTAAATAACTGCAGAGGAATACAATGTTCAAAACAGTGCTGGGCAGTGGGCACATGGCTCTTAAGAACCAGCATTGTATGAGGGCACTAAAATCGTTACTGTCCTCACACTTTCCATAGCTGGCTTTCATTATAGAAACTTCCATAACGAAAACCAGCTCTCTCACTGCTGAGTGAAAGCAAGAATCAGGGGAGGGTGTTCAACACCACATCTTCTGCCCTAGCCCTTATGCAACTGACCTGCATGCAGCAATGGTCTCCCTCCCCAAGGAGCAAGAAACAAAGGAGCTCTGCCATAGAACTCATAACAGTGGATTGCCTATCATCTCCATGAGAGTTCTGTGAAGATCTCCAAGGCATATTCCTGTGACATGAAGGTGTCCATCAACACCATATTCCACCACTCTGGCTAGGCATGTGGTGGTATGCACATCCAATGGACACAAACCAGCCTTCTGTAAATCCCTCCCCACCAACTCAGCATACAAAAACAAGCCAGCCTTCTGAAATCTTCCTCCCTCCCCAACAACTCACTTCAGTGATTCCCAAAATCAAAGCCACCCACCAGGGGCTTCCCTTCCTGTTTCACCAAACTTTGATCACGGTGATGGGCTAGTCACTTCCGGGGTAAAGAAGAGCTCCTTAGCTACATGCTGCTTTCAGTCTCCCCACCCCCCGTGCATGATTTCCTCCTCCTGTCTCAATTCATTCATGGTTTGCCTCCCATGCCTTGTGATAGGTATTCTGCAAGGTATTCTGCAGCTCCTTCACTTTGATCCTTCATTGCAGGGTGGCCCAATCATGGTTCCTTTCCATCATGCAGCATGATCTCTGTCCATAGATATCATAATTCCTATAGTTCGAGCACAGCTTGGACTAGACAGTCTCCTCTCCCCAGACGCTGATGAGGTCCAGCAGCTCAGCACTGCTCCAAGTGGGGGGGATCACGTGGCTCATGGAACAGCCTGGTCATCTGGAAAGATGCACTGAGACCACTGCACATGTTGCTGAGCAAACAGAAAGGGGATTTTCCAAATTCCCAAGAGATTTAAAGGGTGGAGCTGATGGTTGGTCATCTGAGGGCAGGAGAGTAGAGTTCAAACCGATGACCAGAGAAGTGAGAACAGGCATTGTGGGAAAACTCCTGGAGGCCACCTGTAGCACTGTAATTAAACAGAGCATCTACAGTGGCACCATGGCACTGTAGCCCCAGGGCAGAAAGCGGTACACCTCTTGTTGGAGTGATTGTTACACAGCACTGCAACTATGCAGTTTCTGTGTACAAAGTTGCTTTGGCACTGTGTACACTTTGGGAGCTTCACTGGAGAAAGCTGATTTACTGGGCTAGTGTAGACAAGCCTTTAGATGTGCTTCTGTAGCATTTTAAGTGTAGACAAGCCTGAAATTAGTTTCATGTCTTTTACAACAGTCTCTGCTTTTAGAGTATTTTTTTAAAGTAACAATTCCGCGGGAAATAAAATCATTTGCAGTTGTTTCCTGCAGTCCCACCAAACTTGGCATTCTTAACAATAGCTATCTCTATTATCTCCCTGAACCATTGTTTTTAAAAAGTGTGCATTTCCCTAACTAATCAGTTCCAGACTGGCTGAGTCATCAAGAGAAGGCAAATTGTACAATAATTCTGAGAAAGCAAAAGCTTCCAAAAGAAACAATACCTGGTAACAAAAGCCAATGGGGAGCAAGGAGGGAACAGGCCAAGAAAGGAAGCTAAACTGCAGTTAAGAAAAACATTCTATGGTAGCAAAGATTTTATTAAAAACGTACATAATTAGTTGTTTTGTTATTAGTAAGGTTTAGTTTAAGGCCCATTCTGTGTCTGAACAGTTTACCTACTGGTAATTGTGTTTTATTCTATTTATACAATAGCTGAGTCTCTTTATTTGCATTTCCAAGATTGTTAACGATATTTTTATTGCATCTTCCACTCTCTAAGACACATAAAACATCAAGTAGCTGCTAGATCGGTGAAGAAATTGTATCTTTCAATGGCCATTAACTATAATTTTTACCCTATAAATGACTGATACTGTGATGCCATTTTCTATCTTTTGAATATACAGACTCCTCATCAGAATTCAGTTCTGTGTTAGTAGAAACAGGTGCTGTTCTATGCATGGCCAAGGCAGCTTGTACCCTTATAATCTATGACAAACAAAGTTACCTCTCAGATTGTCCAGAAGCATTTACTGACCTAGAAACAGTCTGAGTGACTCTTAGATTCAGCTCAACTGTTAACTCATACAAAATATTATTCCTCTGCTCTGTTGCTGCTCAATTCACAGTTCTCTTCCCAGTGTTGTGTTCTGTGCGTTACAGCGAATATTCACACACGTCTTATTTGGCTTGAATCCTTTGTTGTAACCAAAAGCCCACAAGACAAATGAGAAATGTTCAGGTATAAAGGCATCGCTCAAACCTGCAATATTCACACTGGTATTTTTAGCGCACTCTCTCACGCCCTGCTAGTACAAAATGGTCTACCTGGGCTGGGAAGCTCACTTCCAGATGCGGTGTAGACACATCCACAGTGCATAAGCCCTTCATGTACCTATAAACTAACTAAAGACCAATAAGTAACATTCACAAAAAACATTGGGCATGCTGATCAAGAAAGGACCATTTAAATTAATTCATGAGTTGTACGGTGCTAATTATGTAGTACACTTAAGGCATAATATGTAAAGTTCTCCATAGGGTGGAAACAGAGGCTACTAGATAAGTGACTGAAAGCCTATGGTGTCGGAGAACAGGCCCGAGGGTTTCCCGAGTGATTCTGTTCCTCTACTCAAAGAGGAGCCAAAATTCATTTGCAGATATTAACCTAACTTATGAAGGATTCTGGTTGGACTTTGGCTTGGCTTTGCCCTATTAAGCCAACAATTTCTTGTGCAGAAGATATGTATTTCTCTGTGGCTGTACAGGCAAACTATTATTTTATGTATGAACAGGATGAGAAAAAGTGATCCCTTTCAGAACATCTGGAGGTGCAGTTGAGTGTTCTTCATTTGCCTACTACAGTTGAACCTTTTTTAAAAATCCTTTCCCTTCATTGTAACCATCACTGCTCCAAGCTCTGGAGCACTCTAGCAATAATAGGATTACTCACATTCTTATAAACAACGAGAAGTCCTATGGCACCTTATAGACTAACATTTATTGGAGCATAAGCTCCATGACATGCATCTGACAAAGTGGGTCTTTGCCCACGAAAGCTTATGCTCCAATAAATCTGTTAGTCTATAAGGTGCAACAGGACTTCTCATTGTTTATGCAGATTCAGACTAACATGGCTTCCCCTCTGATACTTGTCACATTCTTATAGTTAAAGACATAATTTAATATTGTGATGGAGCATGATCCTAAAGGTGCTGAGCAAATCTGACTCAAATTCTTAAGATCAATATTTATTCCTGTTTCACTGAGTGGGGATTTTTAAACTTGTGCTTGTTATCAAATAATCATTCACTGTTTCTCTTCTGGTTAGGGGAAGGGCAAAAGGACTTACTGAGAGTAGTGGTAATAGAGCTGGTAGAATTTTTTTGAACTTTTTTCAGACTGGAAATCTTTACTACAAAAAAAAGGTTCTCTCAAGTTTAGAAGAAGAGGGCAACAAAACTTGACAATGGAAAATGTATATCGTGTTTCAGTTTTGGGTCTTTTAAAAAGGAGGGGCACACAGAAAAGTTTGAAAATGAAAGTGTTTTAAACCACAAGTTTTCAGCAATAAATAAAGCAAAAACATTCCTTTTAAAAGATGCAGCATAAAAACTCCCATTACCCCCCCCCATTAATTTTCTGATGCACTCCTATTGTTAGCATTTGCCTAATACTTACTATGACCTTATCCTTATGTTCTTGCCAGTGCTGCCCCCTCACCTTCCTTAGCTCATCCTCATCTTTGTGCTTTTTCCCCCTGATGCCTGAGATTCTTAACCTGAGTCATAGACTCTCTGCTATCTGCATTATGATTTAAGGGAGTGATGTTAATTCAGTCTAACTTTCCACGTTCCTGGCTGCACCAGGGGAAAAAAAGCATGTGTTTTACAAGATAGCTGACACACAAAATCCTGGCACCAACAGGGTTGCCTGTAATCTTGCCCTCATGTAATTCTGAGGTCAACCCTAGGGGGACATCCAATCTCACAGCAAGAGAAACATCTGGCCAAATTCTCCTTTCTTTTACACACAGGCTGCGGTAAATCAGCATGAGATATGCTACTGAAGTTACCTGAACAATATAACTGAGGTTGATGAAATTAGATTCACTTACCATGGGGTCTACATCACACTGTGTAGACAGGAGACACTCTCCCACTGACTAACTTACTCTTCTTAGCTAGGTGCAGTACAGAAATCGATGGGAAAGCACTCTTCCATCCATTTAGCAGGTCTTCACCAGGGCCACTAAATTGATGATGCTGCAGATTGCAGCAGAGCCAATTTAGGTCCATAGTGAAGATGTGCCCTTAGTTTAAGTGACAAAAGAATTGCTCTGAACAGTTAGGATAATACACCGACACCATCTTCTCCTTCCCATGAATTTCTTCCTGAGACAAAATTGTAATGTCCATTTTGGCCCTTTGTCCTACTAACACACTGTTTTAATTTGAAAGGATCCATAATTTGATATTTCCAATGGGATCAGTACAAACTTTGAGGAGATAATCTTACCGCAGATGTGAGGCGAGCAAGAATTTCAGCATCAGTCTCTGCTGTGTCTTCGATTTTTTGACCAGGCCTTAAAAATAAAAATAAAATACAGTTATCCTTATTTTGTGCTTTTGTTTGGAGATTTCTTCATTCCTGGAAAACAAAGTGACAAAAGACCACAACATGCATAAAAGTGAATATAAAAATAACAATAATTCTGGCAGTAGCACCAGCGTAAGCCTTCTCTCAGTGGTTGTCAAATTTTCTATTGTGACTTTTGTCAAAGTGTTGAAGAACTGCTCTTCAGATCAAACGTTGTCAAATTTTCTATTGACAAAAGTCACAAAGTGTTGAAGAACTGCTCTTCAGATCAAATAATGAAATAAATTATATTCTAGCCAAATAATTGTAAAAGGAGAACTTTATCTCAATTGCACATTCAAATGTATATTTTTACCCACTATAAGTGTACTTCAGCATCATTTTCTACATACGAAGGACTGTTCGAGAATGCCATCTGTCAAACAATATGCTTTGTTAAAAATGTGAAGCTCTGTCTTATAAAGCTGTAGGTTCACAGATATAAAAATCAGAAGATTCCAGAAATAATTGATATATGAAGCTATGAAAGCTAAAATAATTAACAGTTAGATGTTCCAAGTCAGGACTGAATGGGAGTGGCATTCAGATTGCAGTTATTTAACAAGTGTAAAAGAGTATGAAAGGCTTATGTTACAACTAAGATGATAAATGGGGTCTGGAGAGTGGAAAAGAAGATAGTGTAAAAATCATTTCCCCCTGTCCTTGGGGCCCTATGCAGAGGCCAGTCACAATACAGAAGTCCAGGATTAGGTAAAACTTCCACATTTCCCAAAGAGTTCAGTGAAGAGTGAGGGGCAGGGCTATACATTTGGCTTTTCCATTAGCATTTTACTCCTCTTTACACTGCTTTTTCCATTTGGCCTGGTCTATCAGTTCTCATAGTATTTGTAACTAGATTTTTTCTCCTCTTTTTCTTCATTTTTGTGCCTAAAACGAATAAAAATGTATCTAAGGTGCTGCAAAACTGTGTGTTGTTTTTAAAGTTTTTCCCATTACAGACTAATTTAACTACCCCTCTGAAGCTAATAAAATTACAGATTGAGTTACATTTTCAAATCCACAATGTCCTAACTGGTTAAAAATTAAGCCCAAAAAAAAAAAAAAACCCCTCCACCCTATCTGTCTTGTTCTTCGTTCATTTATACATTTTTCACGTGTATCATATTCGTGTCATTATACACTGCAGTAACAGATGTTATTATACTGTACAATAGCATACATGTAGTTATGTTATTCATTTGCAAGAATGTTTGTGTTTTATTTCCAAAATAAAATGCTAAGCCAAAACAAACAGATTTGTTTGGTACATACAGAAAAATATTTACTCTGCCCACACATTTAAATGCATTTTCTTTTAAGCAGAAGGGTTACTGTGTACAATTATTTAGACCTTAATTTGGCATTTTTCTTTTGTACTATGTAAGTTGCCTTGCTGAAACCTCTATTGAACCTCACAGAAGTCTTATTAGAAACGGAAAAAGAAATCAATCTGGAAGGTAGGATTATTAACATAGGAATTAAAAACCCTTCTCTTTAATAGAAATAGGGTAGGTCTGTAAATCATGCAAGTAACATTAGCTGCAGTTTACTGTAAAACAGATCACAGGTAAATGGAATATTCTGGCTTCGAATAAATCATTTAATCAGTCTTATGCTTTGACATATTTAAGGAAGCAGCAATCTGTGGGAGCTAATGCAAAGACTGAAAACTCTGAAATAGGAAGCACCTACTTTATATTTAATAACAAAACTCTTCCTGCAGAAAACACAGTATGAGGGGGAAAGCTGCCTGAGGAAAAAAAGGCTTCAATGACAAGGTTTCCAAAAGAAAACCACCTTCTACAAAGATTTGAATGTGAGGAGGAAAAAAAACAGATGTATGTGAGTAAATAACTGTACGACACCAGAAGATAAGTAACTGCCTACACTGGAAATGATAATACTAGAACTGTATGTTATAAAATACTGGCCTTTTCTAGCAATGTTGAAGTGAATTGAATGTCTCCTTAGCTAGATCCTATCCGTTTTCCAATAATTTCTCTCCGCATTATCATTCAAAACAGAACTTTCTGGTGTATCCTTTTGACCGAGAACCTTCAGGTGAACAGCCATGAGTAAGTGGCCTGATTTTCAGAATGACTTAGGACTAGTGCTTTTTTTGTAATGGTACTGCCCGATACACAGTACGGACACCTCCAGTCACAGCTCAACAATTTTTTTTTAAACACGAAAAAAGCACTGTTTAGGACCACAGCTCATACTGAAATCAAGATGAAGTGCCACTGAGGTCAGTGAGAGGTAAGGGAGCTCCATGCCTCAAACTCAGGCCGTTTATTTTAATGCCTAAATGTACAGAGATTTTGATGATCAATTGTTGGGACATAAAACTTTGGTCCTTTCACATGGGCCCTTTTATGCTATTTCTAGTATCTTGTATTAGAAATCTGCTTTAGGGAAGATCCTCTTAAAATCTGAGAAAAAAGTCACAGAAAAGAGTTTCTCTAACAGCAAAAGAGGTTAGCTATAACTCAGACTCATAGACTTTAAGGTCAGAAGGGACCATTATGATCATCTAGTCTGACCCCCTGCACAACGCAGGCTACAGAATCTCACCCACCCACTCCTGAAATAATCCTCCTACCTATATCTCAGATATTGAAGCCTTCAAATAGTTTAAAGACCCCATGATGCAGATAATCCTTCAGCTGTGATCTGTGTCCCATGCTACAGAGGAAAGTGAAAATCCTCCAGCGCCTCTGCCAATCTACCCTGGAGGAAAATTCCTTCCCGATCCCAAATATGGCGATCAGCTGAACCCTGAGCATGTTGGCAAGACTCACCAGCCAGATACCCAGGAGAAGTTCTCTATAGTAACTCCTATCATCCCTCCATTGGTCTATTTACCACTGATAAAAGGTCAATTAATTACCAAGATCATGTTCTCTCAAATCATCCCCTTCGTAAACCCATCTAGCTTAATCTTGAAGCCAGATAGGTCTTTTGCCCCCACTACTTCTTATAGAATAACTGATATTCTATAAACTAGATTAAGGTTGTGGTCATGGGAAGTGACAGAATCTGTGACTTTCAGAGGCCTCCATGACGCACTCTCTTTAGCCCCAGTGCAGTGGAGTAGGAGGGAGCTGTCAGCCAACAGCCCCTCCCATACCCCGTAGTTCCCACTGCCTGCCACTATAGGAGGCAGGCAGGACCCTACAGCTCCCAGCCACCATGGGCAGACCTTAGCAGAACCCTTCCCCTTCATTCTCAGACACTGTGCGGGGGAAGACCTTGGAGTCCAGTGGCAGTGGGTTTCAAGCTGATGAAAGGCCAGGTGAACCCTTCCACTTCATTCTCAGACACTGTGCGGGGGAAGACCTTGGAGTCCAGTGGCAGTGGGTACTGGACCCTCCTTCCTCCCCATTTTTTCAGGGTTTTTTTTTTAAATAAAATTCAAGGACAAGTGACGGGCAATAACCAAAAATTCATGGAAACCCATGACCTGTTTGTGACTTTTACTAAAAATATCAATGATGAAATCTTAGCCTTCACTCTAAATAAAAATATTTACTTGTAATAAAAAAAAAAAAAAACAGAATGGAGGTCTCCCTGTGCTAGGGATTGTACAAATTCAGTCTCTGCCCAGAATGGAGGCCTCCCTGTGCTAGGGATTGTACAAATTCAGTCTCTGCCCCCAAAATATCTCATACTCCAAACAGATACAACAGGCAAAGTATGAGAATGAAAACAGAAGCATAGAAAAGTGAAGTGACTTGTCCAAGGCATCAGAACAAGGTAGTACCAGAGCTGAGACTAGAACCTTTGTCTCCTGACTCCTGCTTGGGTGTCCCTACACATACGCTAGATGCTGAGTTTAGCAAACATGTCAATACAAGGGATAACCCTAACATGCAAGCCGTTACATGTCTATATGATTTTGTAGACAGTCATTTTTACACAGGCATTTATAGTCAGCAAAAGTTCTTAAGAAAAGGTACTTACAGATTGCATATAGAAGTTCTGGTTGAAGATAGAGGCACAAGCTGCAGTAAACGTTTTACACCATTTTGCCATCCTTCATCTTTTTCGAATTCACAGAAAAGGTAAGTACATTCATCAGCTGAGAATTGGTAGAAAACATGAGTGTCTTGAAAACAGAGTTGCCTGTCCACTATTTGAAAAAAAAAAAAATGAAATAGCTTTTAAAGTTTTTTTTTCTACCAATTTCACTCACCCATGCATAAACATATTGAGTGCTAACTTAATGCTTAGTTTGATAACCAAGGACAAAAATCTTAAAACTGAATTTTGAAGCAATTATAGAGAGTCTGGCTTGAATTAATTCCATCGAAGTGATGCAGCCAAAAGAAAAAAAATCTCAGAGTGACAGAACATACAGGGGACTAGAGTGTAAGATGATGGAGTCTTGACGCTTCAGGAACAGTGAGAGCTCTGCCTTTAAGGGCATAACAGTCAGAGAAGTCTTTCACACAGCAGATTCATGAGCATTGATTTACATTAGCCTCTAGGTCATTTCTTCAGCTGAATGCCTCTCTACAGGATAGCAAGATCATAGGCAAGAAAAGGATACATGAAAACAGGAGGGGGAAAGCTTCAGGAAAAAAGAAATACTTAAAAAAATAAACACAGAGATCAAATATTTTACATGTTAATTCTCCCTTCACAATGCACACATGGTAAATTCACCCCTTTTGAAAAGGGGCTAGATTCAGTACCACATTATGCCATTTCTGCCAGCTAGACCCAGAGCTCTCGCACCATAATGCCCATCCTGCAGGAGAATATAATAGCATGATGTTTCTTAGCTTATGCATCAAGGAAAGAACCAAGATCTCTACAGTTAAAAGCATGAGCTGCTACAGCTAAGTCAAGGCTCGCTAGCTTGTACTGTAACAAATTCCTATCCTCAGCAGAACAGGCACAGAAGGAAACATTTAACATGTGCATTGAACAGTAGGTTACATAAGCACAGAGTTTCTAAAGTCCACTTTGAAAGGAATGGGGACAACTCATTAGCACAGACTCAAAAAGGCATGGGTAGGGAATGGGCACGGACAGGATGGGCTGCAGGTGCACTGATTCAGTGGCTCTGGAGCCCTGGATACAAAAAAAGCCGTCTTCCCATGGGAAAAAATCCTGGAACGTGGCTACTGATGTCAACATCACCCCCCACATTTCAGATTTCTAGGCCAAACTCTGCCCTAGTTTAATCTGCAGTCAATGGGGCAACACAGAGAGGAATGGTGAATTTTGCCCAATGTGGTTATCAATGAGTTAAAATTACTTCTTCATCTGCTGTACTGTGTTCTCTAGTTATGAAAAAAGGGGGAAGCACAGTAGTTACTTTAAAAAAAAAGAAAAGACACCTGATGAACTAGTAATTTACCGTTACAAAGGCATTGCTGACCTGCTGAAAACAATGCATAGCATGTGAAGAAAAGAGAAACTTTGAAATAAACATGCACATGATCTGCAAAACTGCAAATAGGCAACTATTTCTAAAAAGCAGAATAGAAAAAACTGTGTCTGGACCAATTCATATCTTGTAATAACTAAATGAAACATCACATGGATAAAAGTCTATACTAAATTAATATTAAATGAAGTGACCTAATTAGAAAGTCTCCCAGAAAACATAAATTTCATTCTATGAATGAAAGCCTGACTGATAGCAGTAGTACTTATTTCTATAACACTGACCTGATAACACAATTCCCATATCCAGTAGGAGCTGCCATACACCAACTGCTGTAGATCTGCACTTAACAAAAGGACAGTGCTCCAACAGCCAGTCTACCAGTTCTGATCCAACACAGCTACTCCTTTAAAAAAAATAAAAAAATCAGGATATTTTATTTCAAATTCATACTGTATTCCACAACATTGTTGTTTGACTGACTATCTATGTAAAATCAGTCATAAGGTGTTCTGAATAACTTTATGCATCGGGTAGTAATAAATACATTTGCCTATCCAGTTATCTCCTGAAAGGCCATCCTTAGACAAATTCGTTATACACGGCTGCATAGGGCACCAGAAAATTTGGGGGGTCGTGGGTCTTACTGTCTACCCTTCCTATCCCTGTTCTGATCCTTCCTGCAGGCTTCCTCCACAGCTGGCTGCTGTAGCCTGGTGAGTCTTCTTCCAGAGAAGATCTGGTAACATAAAAGTGAAAAAGCCTCCTAACCTACTAAACCTATTAGCTCAACACTGGAAGTACAAGAAAGCCATTAAAGTAATAATGAAGCCATTTAAAAGGCATTTGCCAATCCCAAGATATACGCTGTCAGTTTCTGAATTTACCAATACAGGCAGTCCCCGGGTTACGTACAAGATAGGGACTATAGGTTTGTTCTTAAGTTGAATTTGTATGTAAGTCGGAACTGGCTCCAGATTCAGCTGCTGCCACTGAAACTGACCAGGGGCTGACTACAGGAAGCCGGAGGCAGAGTTGCTCTGCCCCCAGCTTCCTGGAATCAGCCTGATCAGTTTCAACAGCTGCTGAATCTGGAGCCTGGGACAGAACAGCTGGGGC